TAATGCATGTACGCTGCCACCACCACTCCGGTCCTGCCCCGGTTGCCCTGAAAAGACATCAGTAAGGTCTAATTAAAAAAAGGTCAAAAGGTTCAACAGCGTCCACACAACCTGTCCCGTAAACACCACCCGTGTCCAACAGGCTAATAAACACACAGGTTAGCTTCACGCTAACGACCGCTCATCAGTGGCCAATAAAGTCAGACCAAACCCAGAGAGAGAGAGAGATGAGTTCTGTGACCTTTGACCCTGCAGCAAACATATGCCGCGTTATAAATACTTTGTACACTTGGACTGTAGAGGGCGGTGGAAAGTATTTGTTGGTACGTGGGAAGCTAACGCAGCCTTTTCCTTAGTGACAACCACAACTCGACAGCCCACGGTCCCAGAACCAACAAAACACAGCAGCACTTGTTGTTATAGCAGCACAATGTTTGGAACAACGCTGTGGGAACTGCTCAGATGGAGGTGGACACGGACACGCACACACACACACTCACAGACTCAGGAGGTCACGGTGACTCCTCATTTTGCAGGAGACACTCAGTCGTAGCTCAGCAGTGTACAGTGTTTACGTGTTGTACTGTGTGTGAGTGTAAACAGCAGCCGCAGAGAATGTGGCTAACCACGGAATTCACGCCATCGCAGACAACAGCCAGTGTGTGTGTGTGTGTTTTATGGCCGTGTGAAGTCCAAACAGCTGTGATGAACAGCTGAGTTCTAATCCCTTATTTGTATTTTCCTAATTCACACAGGCTTAAACAACAACGCTGCGTCCCCTACTGTCAGCCGGCTACACTCGGGATGAGACAACATCCTTACGAACATAGTCTAGGCCGTTATCTCGGGAGATATCAGAGCCTGGCGGCGCCCTCCGCCTCGGCCCGTTATCTCAGGAGATATCAGAGCCTGGCGGCGCCCTCTACTGTCTGGACACTCACCTTGTTGTGTATGACCACCACGTTGTGGCTGTCGGCGGTCAACCACGTGTCCATGGCTTTGCAGATGCTGCAGATTTTGTCCAGAGCCGGAGCATGGTAGTCAGGCCAGCCGAAATCTATGACCTTGGACCACGTACAGGGAGGGAGAGGCAGAGGGCGAGGGTGGGTGAGGGAGAGAGAGAGAGAGCAGGTGAGGTTGATACTGATGCAGGAACAAGAGGGAAAAGTGGAAAAGAAAAATCCCCAGTTACCTTTGGATTGAGTTGCGTGATGTCATAACGCTTTTCACTGAGGTTGAACAGCTGAGGAAGGAGAAAATATTTACAGTAAGATTTAAGCCCCGCCCACTGATTAATATATAAATATATTCACAGTATATTGGGATGTAACAGCGTATAGGAAAGCTACAGTTGGTCTCAACCTTGATTTGTGAATGACAAGAAAATGTACTAAAAGGAGTTATTCATAATAAAACATATATATGTAAATATATATGAAAATATAATACATATATAAAAGAAATATGGACATCAATATATTTTCTGTCATTCACACTTTGTAATAATCTGTATTGACTGAAAACATACAGATATTGCAGATCATTTACAGTAAGAGTATCAACAACAACAGGCAACTCAACTGTCATATACTGTATACATACTGTACATCTACATATATATTTATATGTGTATAAATATAAATAAATATATATATACCCGACATGTAAACTTGACATGCAAAAAAAAAATAACGTCTCATTATCTTGGGGTTCCATAATGTAGCGTTTAGCACGGGTTTGAGTCCCAGAGGAACCACATACTTGTGGCTGTTGTAGCAGATCTGCTGTTGTCACAAGAATTTCCCAAGTTTGTGTTCAATAAAGTTCGAAAAAAGGCGACGTGGGAAAGAAAATAACGTCAGGCTTGTGAAAGCGATTCGCGAATTTTAAAAAAAGAAAGTTTTTTCTGTTTTTTAAATCCTGATTTGAGTGAACAAACAAATAAATTAACAAACGAACGAACCCGTCTTAGATCCACAGCAGCTGACTCGTCTGGCTAATCAACAAGACGCGAGTGCCAGTGGTTTGGTCCAGTCACAATTGGGTTCCGGCGGAAGTTGAACTTCCTTGTCAACAAAGTTCCGGTTGGAAATATATTTTTACGCAGATAAACACCAATTGCTTATATTGGTCAATACTAAATGGTTCGGGACATGTTTACACGTAGCGAAGCATCGAACATAAAAAAAAACCCGCGCTGATTACGTCACTCCTTTTCATCTTTGTAAACGATTTTGCCGAGATTTAACTCCAATGACGTCACGTTCACTGAGCTCTAACGCTCTTGGCCTTTTATAGTGTTGCAGTCGAACTGAATCCCAGCCAGGGTTATGCAGCGGTGTGTGTGTATGACGTCACCAGGTAGTTTTGGCCATGTTTGGAGCGCAGCATGGAGGCGACCTCCTGCAGGTTGGCGGCGTAACTGTGCTCGTCGACGCTGCCGGGGAAGGAGACGGAGATGATCCGCTCCGTGATGTAGAGCAGGTCCAGGTCGTAGTTCTCCTCCACGGCCTGCAGCAGACTGGCACTCCTGACACGAACGACCAACAGAAAGTTATTCACAACAATTTACAGTCAATTTTTTAAAAATAAAAAAACTGGACTTTTACAACATCAGGTTCAAACTGAAAAGAAAAGAAAAAATCTAAAAGTACATGTAACACATTAACACTTCAACAAAAATAAAGTTTACGGTTTTTATTTTAACTTTTTTACTGCCCCTAAATATTACTCACCATTTATATTTAACCATGGAATAAAATGTCAAATTATTTTTTTTGTTTCATTTGACCTGAAGTTCTGAAGTCATTGCTTCAAAATGACTAATGTCTAAACTTAAATATTTTTTCCTCATCATTTACGACCTCTCTGTATTAAAGTGAAGGTTAATCTGTGGAGATTGGATCAGAGGTTCGAGCGTCACAGCAGATGTGACGTCTTGGGGATGAAAATGTGTGTGTGGTTTTTTTTCCCCATCTTGGTTATTGACAATAAAAATAAAAATATAAGCTGGTGAAGAAAAGCCTGATAAATATATATGTATATACATATGTATATATATAATATGATAGATGGCTGTTGGTAAAACTTTTTTGTGCAGTTTTAGACGCAGCTCAGCAGCTGGACATCTGCTGTGGCTGCAGCTGGGAGGGAGGGGCTGCTGTGTGGGGGGGCGGGGTCATTAATGCACAGCTGCCTAAAACTTCTGCAGAACTACATATATATTTTTAGCCATTGTATAGTTTGTTTTTTCTTCGTCATTTTCTCTCTCTGAACCCTTTTGTTTTTAGTTTAGTTTCTTCATTTTTCCACGTCCTTGGTGTGAATCTCTATCTCCACCACCATCTGAACACGTCTGCAGGGTCAGAGCGGAGCAGCACACTGAGTGTAACAACCAATCACGGGACCTTCTGCTCCCAGACAGCAGCATTTTTCCCACAGTTGTCAGCGGTGAGTCGACCCCAGAGGAAATGGCTCATACGTCTGGCAGAGCAGAATCACTCTGAAACCCACTCTCTGCTCTTCACATCTGGACCCACTCAGAACCTGCCCAGTGAATACTGTACCACCAGGTGAGGTCGACCACAAGACGCTCACGTGTTCTCTTTGAGACGAGGAAGTGTGATTTTTTATTTTTAGTTTCAAATTGTTTAACTGAACTTTTCCTTCCTCCTCTCCCCCTCCCTCTCTGTCTCTCTCACTCTCCCTCTCCCTCTCTCTCCCTCCTTCAAGCGTTCACTGCTGGGCTGGGCTCTGATAATCTGAACACACTGAACTCGGAAAAGGGATTTGATTGGTGCTCTGGGAACGACACCAAGTGTAAACAACAACAACCATGTTTTATCTCGGGACACGTTCGCTGTCTTCACTGCAGTGTGAGCAGTTTTTTCACGTTAGCATTCTGAGCTTCGTTTGACTTGGGCTTAGCACGATAGGCTAACAGGAACTGACAAAAGGTCGCAGGGGTCAGCTGTGGTGGACGTGGGTTTTAACTATAACTGAGTTGCACAGTGTCTGACAGCACAGTGTACTTAAAAGGTCAGGTGATGAAGGGTCATGTTGAAGGTCACGTTGAGTCCTGCACTCTGAGGGCTAACGTGCTAACTCAGCCTGATGTGCTAAGGATTTTTTTTTCGAAGACTAACTATAGGGTGAGGTGAGGATGGGAGTGTCCTACCTTGACGGTCTGCGTCGTGACTCCACGCTCTTTGAGGACTTTGTGGAACCCTGAAAAAAACACACGGGAAACTCCATCAATGTTGAACTGTTCAACAGTACCACACGGTCAAACGGTTCCAGTTCTAAGTCACAGATAAACAACCCCGTGTTGTTAAGCCAACATTCAGTGACCAACACAACACGACTCTCAACCCCCACCGACAACATTCCAGAACCTTTTTTTAACAGCAGGGGTCACTGTTGATAACCTGTGGTTGAAGCGAAAGATTTGAAAAATTTGGCAGAAAGAAATAAATAACTTTTCGCTTTTCGTTGATGTTGATCAAGATGTTGCATAAGTGCGTGGGAAAAGTTAAACAAGAGCAGGATAAACATCCAAGTCGTGGATCGCTGCCCCCTCCTGGTTCTGACCTCGGACATGTAGTGGTCAAGACGTTAATAACAACATTAATAAAACTCTGGTTCTCTTTAAGTACTTTGTAAATAAAAGAGAGTAAAAATGTACACAGGAGCCTGGAAGTACTGCTCAGTACTGTATATGGTGCGACCTGCCCTCCAGTATTTGATCTTTTCCTGAAATGGTCAGCACTGCTGCGTCCAAATATTCATCATCTGCACTCCCACCCAGTAAACCAGCGGTTCTCAAAGATGAGGTCCCGCCCCCTCCTAGGGACGGCAAGGCAAATGAATTTCAATTTTTTAAAAAAATTGCTGAGCTAAAATTGAACCAAGACAAAAAACAAATAGAGATTTACTTTTCAGGATCATCCGACTGTTGTAAATCAACAATCTGTCAATCAGCACCCTCTCCTCCACCCTCTCCTCCACCCTCTCCTCCACCCTTTAGTTACCGCTTTGACCTAAACGTTTCAATATGTTAGCAGAGGTTAGAAAGGTCAGAGAGTCCAGGAAGAGGAGGAGAGAGAGAGGAGAGAGACCCTGAAGTCACTGAGAGACGCTGCGTTTCCAACATGGACTGTGATGATGATCAACAACAGGTCAGAGGTCACAATAAAAAAAAACTATCAACATCCTGATTACAGACCAAGAAAACAAAGAGTTCTAAAACGGTACTGTTTAATCTGCACTTCAAAGAGGCTGCGCCCCAGACTTTCAGAACCAACTCACACTCAGCCACACATGAACACGAAGGTCTGAGTCGAAGATGTTTGACTGAGACCAGGTGGAAGTTCATGGTTCTGTTTCATTATTATTATGGTAATAAACCAACTGAGAAGAATAAGGAGGTAAAGGGGTGTGGGGGCGGGGGGGTGGAGGCCTGTTTCCAGATGAATACCATCTGGGGAAGTTGACTTTACAAGCAGACCATACAAATTAACCATTTGAGGGAGAGGAAGGGAGAGCGGGAGGGAGGGAGAGCGGGAGGAAGGGAGAGCAGGAGGGAGGGGGAAAGCAGAGGTTTGTGGGGGCTGGTAAAAAAAAAAATATCAACAAGCAGAGAAAGATGGAGCGGAGAAGAAAAGTCAAACCTGAAGACTGGACTCAGCCACAGACCCTCACCCTCCACCCCCACCCTCCCCCACTCCCCCACACCGGTCCTTCAGCTCATCCTACCTTCCTGAATAAGTACCCCGTACTCCATCGCCAGGCCCCCCTCAGAGAGGAGAGCCGTCTCCTTAAAGACCCGCCGTGGTCCATGTGAGCAGGCTGTCTGTCCCTGCTGTGGGTCCAGCAGTGAGTCCCCCACCCTCCCCCGGCAGACCTCACCCCCCTCTTCTCTTCTTCTGACGGTGAAGACAGAGGACGAAGGAAAAAAAAAACGGGGAATCCAGGGAGTCTATTTCAGGTCGTCGTCTGTCGTGGGCCGCGGCGAACTCCAGCTACAACTCCTGGTTTCCTCCTTCTGTCCGCCTCCCTCCCTCCCTCCTTCTCTCTCTCTCCCTCCTTTGGCCACCCCCCATCAACCGCCCCTTCTCCCTCTGCCTCCCATCACATTATCATCTCACATTCAACACGTCTCCTCGCTGCTTCCTGTGTTTCCCTTTTCATCTGATAACAGATGGATGGATCTGTTAGTACTAAACAAATACACGTCGGTACTCTGTTTCTTCGAAGTATTTCCAGCAAAATCGCAGTAACACGAGTTCTCCCACTGCTTAAATCAAAGGAGTAGTTTTTTCCAGTCGTTGCTCTGATCAACAGCGTAAACACGTGTCCAGCAGAAGAAGAAGAAGAAGAAAAAGTACCAGAGCAGAAGCTGCCGCAGTCACAGGACCAACAGTTCTGAGGGCGGCGGGGCGCGGCCCCGTCACGACCACGTCACAGCGTGACCACAGGGCGAAGGCCCGTGACCACACAGTAGCAGCTGTATTCACTCATGTAGTAAAACTCTAACACACACAGTACAGTACAGCACTGGGCAAATGTACACGGCAGGTGTGTACATGTACGTGTACTGCATCTGACTTTTGACATTTGAAGTAAATGTAGAGATTGTGAGGTACAAAAAAAGTGGGATTAAATAATCCAAACATGAGGGAATTCTTGGATGTCTGAGAGCAGGGACCGTTTTTTTTTTAATTCAAATATAATTTTCTCAAAAAGTTTTTTTTGATTATTTAAATCTGGAGTGTCAAACATATGGTCCGTGGACCAAAAACCGGCCCGCTCAGGACTTCAATGCGGCCCGCTTGATAGATGTTGAGAATGAAAAAAAACAACTTCGTGTTAGTGTGTTTTTGGCAAATATTTCATTAAATATATATATTTTTTCTAATATATTTGTAATTATTTGCATGAAAACAAAGAGGAAAAACATGGACTGAATTCTTTTCTGGTTCTACTGGTCCGGCCTGGTTCTGGTTTTCACAACATTCTTCTTTACACATGCCTTAAAGAGCAAGAATTTGTTTTTCTTTTATAATAATAATTCACATTTGTCTCCATCAGTAAACGTGTGTGTGGATCAGAACCAACACACAAATCTTCCCTGATGCCACTGTGTCTGATCCGACTCCAGATCTACTGTTTGGATCCTGGCTCAGTTCTGAGCGCCAAGAATTCCCAGAATTCCCATCTGTTTTTGACGATGCATCCCAAATTATAGTCAAAACGATTTGACCTGTCAGTCACTCTTCAGACCCTGGACCCCGACACTAATGGAACGATAAAGCAGGGGCCCGCTTACCTTATGTTTAATACACATATTCAGTATGGCCCAGTGCCACGTACAAATGTACTTTGGTCATTTAACATTCAACCCTTACAATAATGAGACTCAAAAAAAGGTTCATGACCTGCCACGGTTCCTCCATGTACCACTTCAGGGGGGCAGAACCCTATGTTGAAGACTATGTTCAAGTCAGTGATACATGTGGGAGAGAAAGCCACAGGTTCTGAAATCCACTTCCTTAAGAAA